CCTCGGAAGCCCCCACGGTCCCCGCCTCGGCCTCGGTAGCCGCCCCGATCATAGCCTCCTCTGCCACCACGACGATCATCTCCATAGTTACCCCCTAGGACAGAAGAAATATGATAGATCATATACCCCCCAAATCCCTACCTTCCCTCTAACCTCCCTGCTTAAAGTTAAGGGCTTTCTGGGGCACCTGGGTGGCTCAGTCAGTTAAAGCATCCGATTCTTGGTTTCGGTCAGGTCAGGGAGGGTTGTGAGACGGAGCCCTGCTTCGAGCTCCACACTGATCATGGACACCAAGCGTGGAGTCAGCTTGTCCCTGCCCCTTCCTCCTTCCCCCACCCCCCGCCTATAATAAATAAATAAAACATGAAAAGGGGGGGTTTTTTGGTCCCAACTCCTTTATTACCAGCTCTGTCCCTTCTTACCCATATGAGAGCCTCCCGGTCCCCCTCCTGGGCCATCTGGTTTAGGGGCCTTACATTGGTTGCATTCATTCCTCCAAGAGAAGTTCATGTTCTCACATATACTGAGAAAAAGAAAGAAAATTAGTTTGGAAGGGTGGGAGTAAACAAGACCAAGACATAGGAAAAGATTCCAGTGACCCTAAAGGTAACAATGAGGAAACAGGGGCCTCAGAAAGGCAAAAGAGGCTTCTCAGCAGAACCAGGAACAAAAACTACAGATTACTGAACCCAGTCCAGTATCTTTCCCACTGTAACAACCTTAATTTGGTAAGCTCTCAACCAAATCTGTCCCCATCAGTGTGACCTTGACATCTGTCTAGAAAACCTCCCAACTCTGCCACTATACCAAACGGCACACATTTAAAGGACTAAGAAAAAAAGTTTCACTCACGGATTAGGACACTTCCAGTCACCAGCTCGCTGCTGGCCGCCACCACCACCTCCTCCACTGGGGAATCCTCCCCGGCCACCGCCACCACTGCCACCACCTCCATAGCCTCCACGGCCCATGGGTCCTAGTGAAGACAGAAATATGGGTCTGCTCCCAAGTTTGCTTAGCCTAACCTAACCTTTTCCTACACAAGCCCTTACCATCCTCCCCTTCTCCTTACTCTACCCGTCACCTCTTTATACCGGCAGCAGCAAGTAGCTGCTCACCTCCTCGCCCTCGGCCTCCACGACCATTGCCACCACCCCGATTGAAGTCTGCTCGCCGAGTAGCAAATGAGACCTTGATGGGATTCCCAGAGAATTCTTTACCATCAAACCAGTCAATAGCTGCTTTAGCAGAAGGTGGGTCATCAAACGACACTGTTGCCTCTCCCTTCAGCTTGCCCGTTTCCCTGTCTGTGTACAGATTAATCATGGGCTGTCCTGTTTTCTTATTTGTCTGAAAAAAACAACATGAGATAACATGAGTCCTACAAGATAGCACTACCCACATTCCACCTTCCTTCTCAAAAACCTGAGGTTTATCATAACCTTACTTCAGCTCCTCTCTTCCCAGTTACTGTTTCCTATCTCACGTATAACTTGAATTAAAGTCATTACAATGATCTCTCACTTCAATGTTGACCAATTAAGACTAAAGAATATAAAACTCAAATTCAAAAGCTTAGGACACTCCCTTCTTTATCAACTGTGCCTTTCTGTGTGAAGATGTGCTTTCCTTTAGAAAATAGCAACATCTAATGTTCTTTCCTCAACAGATTAAGCTGACCATTTTATTTTTACTAATGTATGAAATCCAAAAGCCTGCAACACCGACACAAAAGAAAACACCCACTATGTTCCACAGTACCTTAATAATACCAATCTGCTTGAAGTAATCAGCCACAGACTCAATTGTAACATTTTCGCCCAAGCCTTGCACGAAGATGGTGTTGTTGTCTGAAT